ATTCATAAAGGGTAAAAGTATAATATCATCTAAAGCCAAGCTTTTAGTATATAACACTTATATATATATATATATATATATATATATATATATAGGGTTAGGTTCAAGTGAGAAAGGTACTTAGTGAAAGAAAAAAGATTAAATCTTAGTCATTGGATCGGATGATCCAACAGCTAAAGAAAATCCTATATTTTAAACACACTACAGGCAGTTTGGTAATTTTATTACCAACCAGCCCATGGACCCCACCTCACCCTAATCAATTCCAAACCTACCAACTCACCACCCACTCATTCTCTTTCACACACAACACACACCCTGCACATATACACACACAAGTCCCAATGCACTCTCTCACACCCCAACACACGCAAATACACACACACACACACACTGTACACACACCGACACATACAGATACACACATACAGTACACACACTAACACACACGGATAAACACACACACACAGAGTAGTTTTCCAGTTTTGCCGGCAGCCGCCCGACGTCGTCAACATCTCCGCAATCACCTTCTTCATCGCACGCCCGACGTTCCCTGCCCCATCAGCCTCCACCCTGGTTCCAGCTCCATCCTCGATCTCCGCCGCCGACCTCGAGGAACTCCATGTCCTCGGCCACGGAACTCCATGTCCTCGGCCACGGCAACCGAGGCACATTCTTCAAGGTCCAACGTTGCCGCAACTCTTCCACCCTAAAAGTCTCCGCCACCCAAACTCCCCCAGCGTCTCCAGGAATAGAGGCACGTCCTCTTCGGCGGGAGACAAGAAACAGACAACCATATGATCAGACGGCGAGAGGTAGCTGACGGCAATGATCGGAATTGACGGGTTAAGCCGCTAGTATGGGGGGGCTGATTTTTTAGAATTAGATATGTATGGGGGATCTAATTGTGATTTTTTTAGTTTTAATTATATTTTAATTGAATCCTTGGGTCAAATATATAATTTATAGAAACATATTATTATTATTATACATTATTTTTTACATATATGCTAAAATAATAATAAACAGTAAATAAAAATGGTATAAAATATTAAATTATATAAAATAATAAATAAAAATATTGAAATAATAAATAAATATTTATAATATAAATAATAAATAATTTCTGTTATTTACATAAAGTTAACTCGGTTCATTTGTAGTTTGGATTTGCATATGAATGCACAATATTGATAAACAATATGCACAATAGTGACAATGAGACTGCACAATATTGTTAGGACAATGCATGTTAATTTGTTCGAGAACGCACATCATCATACCAGTGTTAATTTTCATAAATGTTAAAAATATGGGTTATTTCGGTCCGATTTTATACTTATTAAAAATAAAACAAAAACAAAGCAAAATAACAGAATCGGCCGAACTAAATAAAAAATAGTATATTTTATTTTATCTATATATATTATTTATTCTTCAACAAACAATAATATAATAAAAATAAAAAATTATAAATACTAAATATAATTTTATTATATAATTTGATAAATTTACTGTAATGTTAATTAAAATGCATATTATTAAACATAAAAAATGCCTGCTTAGTATAATGCACACTAATGTTAGATTAAATGGACATTTATATTTGTGAGAATGCACATTGTCAATTTTGGCACTTCATATATATTATATATTTGCAACCAATAAATAATGTAAAACTATTAAGTAATTAATAAACATTTAGGGTAATTCAGTTAACGGACTGAATAAACAAAATAATTCGATACAGATTCAATTTGACGTAGGACAAATGTCTGGTCGGCTCGAAGTGCACAGTATCAACCGAGTTAATGCACAATAGTGTTAGACTAACTGCACCTTAATGACTTTCGAACTGCACAACATCGACTAAATTGAATGATCTAAAATTTTTGGTTTAACTATTTAGATCTGATTTTATTATAAAATTTCAGTTATGTGAGTTCTATTTCAGATTTATTTTGGTTTGATTGTTTTCAAAAGATCGACTCGTTAAATTTAATTCTTTTATTTCATTTAGTCGTCTCGACCGAACCGGCCAATGAACGACTCTAAATGTGGTTACATTTTGGCAAATTTGCAAATTTTAAATGTGTAAACGATAACAATTATGTAATTACGTAATAATATAACCAAATTTTTAATATGCATATGCTCGTGCAATATTGTGCATTTCACCTAATTTTATTGTGCATTTCACGTAATGTTATTGTGCATATATTGATCATATTTACCAATTTCAGGTACAACATATCATACTTAAAAAATTTGCAAATGCATTCCTCATATTTCTCTAATTTTCAAAAATAGAACCACAAGTTAAAACTCAAAATCCCAATTACATGTGCAACATTTCAAACTTAAATAAATTGCAAATAGATCCCTCATATTTCTCTAATTTTCAAAACTAGACCCACAAATTAAAACTCAAAATCTGGAAACAACATTCATCTATGCCCATTCCCGGCAGTATCTTTCGAATAGATTCACCGTCGTCCTCGTCTCTTCTGTCGACTTAGAGAATAGAGGTTCAGATGGTGAAGTCGCTGACCCGGAGCGGCGGCGTTTCTTCGAGTTGCAGGACAGAGTGGTTGTGGCAGTGGTGGCCGGTCGATTTGGTGAGGTGGTGACAGTGCTGTTGGTGGCGGGGCTGTTGGAAGCGGTGGTGGCTGGTTTGTTGACGGGCGGTCGGTTGGTAGGTGACGATGGTGTCGGGTGTCGTTGGCGATGCTAGAGGCGGCGGTGCTCCGACAGTCAGGCTGCGATGCTTTGACGGGCGTCACTGTAAATATTGCTCGACGAGTTTTTGATGATCGGCGGCGACGCTTTTTCGGCCGGGCGGCGACGCACTTAGAATTCTGGGCGGCGAGAGCCTGTCGAGTCGGTGTGTGTGTGTATGTGTGTGTGTGTGTGTTATATGTTTGTGTAAATAGCGTTTGTGCAGGTGTGTGTTGTGTGTGTTTATGTGTGAGGGGAGAGGTATATCAGTGGAGATAGTGGTGGGGCCCACTTTATATGTGAAATGTCTTATGTATCCCTATTTAGTAGTCATGACTACGTACAATTATTTACGATATTACCATTAATGATTGATTGGCCCGTAATAATATTTGACTTAATCATGTCCGGAATCAATAGTACATATCTATTCTTATTTCTTTCGCTAACTCCTTTTCTCATTTAATCTCAATTATATATATATATATATATATATATATATATAT